CAATCCGAACAATTCCAATCGTTCGACGGGAAAATTTATTTATATAGATTTTTTTATATTATATTATTTTTTATATATCGATTTCTTTTAGATCTTTTTGTTACTTTTTATGATTTAATTTTTTTTTTCTCTCTCTCTCTCTCTCTCTTTCTTTTTATAGTCATCTTATAGAATCAGACTGTTAACGATGTGACCAAATTTTCTTTTATTTTTATATATATATTTTTTTTTTAAGAAAAATAATACTTAAAGACAAATCATACTTTCAACGGATTACTTTAGATATGATAAATAAATGAACAGAGTTTTGTTCATCCAATTCACGTCTATAAACTCGAATCTGTTCGCTACTATGTACTTGTATATGCATATCAAAGTTGCGTGGCGCATAGGAGAAGTAGGTAGCCTTGAGAGTCCGCGCGTTTTCCATTGGAAAATACTGTTCGAGGCATCAGCGTGCCAGGATCTCTCTCTCTCTTTCTATTTTTCTTCTCTCTCTCTCTCTCTCTCTCTCTCTCTTTTTCTCTTCTTTCCCTCTCTTTTTCTCTTTTCTCTCTCTCCTTTCCTCTTCTCCCTCTCTCTTTTTCTTTTCTCTCTCTCTCTTCTCTCTCGTTCTCTCTTTCGTCTTTTCAATTCGTATTTCTGAAAGAGGATAAGCGACGTGTATCATCGATTTGCATAGTAGCTAAACGAATACATAAGCAGGTTTATATCGGTATAACTTTGTTCTCAGGCTCGTAACAGGCTAAAAAGAATAAATGTTTGTATATACATATTTATCCAGGTTTGATTTCTATTCGTAATTTTATCCGTTAGTGATCAAAATAAATTTCTTCATTTTTTTTCTTTTCTTTTTTTCTCATTTTTTTAAATTTATTTTATGTACAATTTACTACGAGGCGATCAGGGTACTAGAAAGTTTTATTTTTTTTTATCGCATTGAAGCTTCGATATATTCTTTCTTATCGCGACGAATTACCCTCTCTTTCTCTTTTTTTCTTTCTCTTTTTCTCTCTCTATATATGCTATGACAGTTAACATCACATTACAAGTTTAATAATTATTTTGACGTAATAAGCTGAAGTAACGTGCAACAGTCCATAGTATTGTAATACATTCTCTATAGCTTTTGATTATGCTAATAAAATCTGCTGGTGATAAGACGTAATAATGCGTTGCGAATAGAGTGATGTTAGTATCTGGTACATATCTTCATACCTTCCATGCATAATCATGAATTGGCCCGGCAAACTTGGCGCTAATAAAAATGGGATAGAATCGTTTCGTGCTTTTAGAATTACATAAGATAAATGAAGATGCGATATAAATATTAATTATATATATATATATTCGATTTCGAAACGAACGTTAGCATGTAGTACGAAAGTGATCCGCTCTGTAGGAGTGGACTTGTAAGTACGCCGGTTAAATAACAAAAGGTTGATAGTTTCATTTTCACCTAAATTTATTACGATATGTCTTATGTATGTATGATTTTATCGTAATGGTGGAAGGATTGAAAAAATAGAACTAGAAAGAGAAAGAGAAAGAGAAAGAGAGGGGGTTCAAATTTCAAAAACTATTTTACGGCTTTTTCTCTCTCTCTCTCTCTCTCTCTCTCTTTCTCGGATTTTCTGTTCTTTTATAGATAAAAGAACGATAAATGAGAGCAACGCTTTCCGTTTTTATGTGGAGACGCTTAGAGCGAAACGTCGAAGCGAGAATCGTATTACTGAAACCGTTATAATGCTAGGCTTGCGTACCGAAGCATGAGAAAGAGAGAGAGAAAGAGAGAGGAAAAGAATTGGGTGCCGAACGGTCGAAACCGGTAAAAACAAAGATAAAGGATTTCCAAGATAAAATAGACCAGAATTTCATCGTCAAATTTCCCCTTTCGTGGACATTAAATGGGGTAATATGAGAATGAAGACTAAACCAATATAAAGAAGGAAGATAAATATTTTTTTGTGATTGATTTTAAATAAATTGGATATACATCCGTATAGGAAATAAAAATAAAAATAAAAAAATAAAAATAAAAAATAAAATGGAACAAGGAAATGAATAAATAGATATTTTCATTCAATGATTTATTTATTAATATCCATTTCAATAAGGCGTTCGATAAGGAATAAAATGTACGAATATGTAAATTTATACGTATAAAAAGAAAATAAGATATAAAATCATGTAACTTTCGTTTATTGTAAATTAATTTTTGTCAACTCTCGGTCTCGATAGTTTTCACTGTGATCTATCAAACAAAAAAAAAAAGAAAAAGAAGGAACGATAATTCGTGATATTTATCAGAAATATTTATCATAGACGTTAAACTACAAGCTTGTTGTCATGCAATAGTCTATGATCGAGAAAGCTTCGTTCGTTCGTGTTTAACGTGATAAATTTCTCGTCGATCTCTGCACGAGTTAAACTCGAATTTGATTTATAGACGTGCGAATACTGGGCCGCTCTTGGGTGTGCTATCGATGAAGTCATTAAACCACAGGAACTTCTCCGCGGGACGATACATTATTGCGTTCGAAAAGAGACACAAAAGAACGGGAATCAATACGGTTGCTCTCTTCTCGTCGTGCCGTTTCGAGAAGATAAGTTCAAAGACGAGATGTACAAAGACGACGAGGATGAGGACGAGGACGAGGACGACTAAGACGACGTTATCGGTAGTAAAGCGAGTTACATACGAGTGTAGTTTTAATAGGATGAAACATGTGATATCTATAAGGGTAACCCTTTAAAGAAATTCCATCTCAATGTCGAAGAAAAAGGATTCCTAAAAAAGAAGTCTTTACTTTCTTGACAACTTCTTTTATTTTTTTTATTTTTTCTATTTTTCTGTTTCTTTTTTCTCTTTTTTCGATATCTCACTTTTTTCTTAGCCACAATAAAACCCGTGTACTTAGACGATTTCTTTTTTCTTTTTTTTCTTGTTTTTTCTTTTTTTTTCTCCTTAAATATATGTTCTTCAACCCAACGAAATATCACGCTTGACACTTGCGAAAGGAGAAACGACTGGGAAGATGTTTGGTATCGCTAGTTCGTTATTATAGGGAAGAACCTTTAATACTCCGACGTAATAATCGTGACGATTACTGTTCTTGCGAATGTCATCTCTTCGTTTACGTAGATCTTTCGTAAGAATTGAAAGGCGAATGTAAAAAATTGAAATAATATCGAAATTATCGCGATATAAATGGTACACATGTATCTACTTACATAGTAGTAGTACATCTACTTGTTCAAGATTCATTGCTCTTACTTTTAGACAGCGTAAGAACAACTTTCCGAAATAATCGCGTGTCGAGGAGAGATGAGATATGAATGAAATCAAGCGTGTCAGATACGCGAATGTCGTTTACCCGAGTTAAGAACGAAAATATATAAATCACGAGATTTCACAATTACTTAGGGTAATGTTAGACGATTGAGAATATGTATAGCACCGTCTTTTTATTTTTGTGTATATACGTACGTACGATACAAAGAAAAAGAAAAAACAAAAAAGAAAAACGTATGGACTTTGAAAAAAGTGCTTAGGAACATGATCATACATATACGTACGTACAAATCCAACATCATTTGGTTCACGATCTCACTTTTGTTAATCGCTTTTAATTACCACCTAATTGAGATTAATGGAAAGGCATGCGGGTATGTACGTAGTATGTAGAATGGGTGATATCATTCTGTTACGCGAGACGAATTGAAGCTAAAACTTAAAGGAACCGGTCATCATCGTGTTTGTTCTGTCTCCGACGTAATATTTTCTACACATTTATATATATACATATATATATATATGTATATATATTTGTAAGTATATATATATATACTTACATATATATATATATATATATATATATAAGGGCACATAAATATATACATATATACAAATATATACACAGACACACATGTATATTGCTAAAGAAGGAAGTCGCTCATGCGAGAAAGTAGATTTAACGTTGCGTTGCGTGCGAGATCAATCGCGACGATAAAAGGCATCGATAGACGTCTACGTACGTACGCGTTGGCAAAAGTATAAAAAGACGTGGCAGAGTCGCGTGTTCGATTTAAAGGGTCGACTCGATCGTGATATTGCTTAGAAATCGATCGTCTCTCGACAAGGAAGATACACGTATGTATATATATATATATATATATATATATATATATATATATACATATACATAAATGTATACGCGTATATGTATGTATAGGTTGCAACGTGCTCGCTGCATGCCAGCGAAATTGCCCTATTATTACTTCATCTAGTCCGGGATGGTGCCTATCCGTGGGCTTAGAGGCGCGATCGTCCACGAAGAGGTCGTTTCCTTGGGTCGTTCAACCCTTTGTTGTATTTGCAGATGTGTAGAAGAGACATGACGACCTACTATTCTCCTTATGTGACATTCCCTATGAAGTTCTTCGATCGAAATATCGATGCAAAATTTTTTTAATACGATGGAAGACGGGTTAGTGAGGATTATTCCTTGACCACGTGTCGGAGAAGTGTTTTAATACAAGGCGGCTGATCCCGTGAAATAGTTGAGATAGAAGGTACGACGAAGATGAACATAATCTCATCAGGAAGGAAGAAGGAAGAAGAAAGGAAAGAAGGAAAGAAAGAAAGAAAAAGACAGAGAGAACGAGAATGAGAGAAAAAGACAGAGAAAGAGAGAGAACGAAGAGCATCATTCTTCCCGCCAGAGTCGCCGGTTGGTAGGCTTTGTAAGAGAGAGAAAGAGACAGAGAGAGAGAGAGAGAGAGAGTGAGAGAGTGAGTAAGAGAGAGAGGGAGGGAGAAGGATGAATAAGAAAAAGAGAGAACTGGGTGTGCGGTGAACGGGTGCGAGGGAGCTAGCGAGGGAGCTAGCTCAGCTAAAAGGTGGGGGAAACTTGAGCAAGTGAGGTAGAGTGGGAGGACCTTACGAAGAAGAGAGTAAGAGAAAGAGAGAGAGAGGGAGCGTATCGCGCGGCGCGATCGGCGTACCGAGCGAACGAACGGCGAGTTGGACGTTTCTCAGTGTCGCCGCGGCGTTCGTGCTAGTTGTTTCTCGTCTGATTTTATTTTTCGCGCTGCCGGTTAAAATCCGTTCGTGCATTCTTCTCAACTTCCGATTTGTCGTCCGTTCATTCTAATCGATCATTGAAAACTGATACACACGTGCTTCTATATACAGATATATGTATATATGCGTATATGTATATACATTGTAAGTATATATATATATATATATATATATATATATTATGTGAATATATATATATGTTTATATATATATATATTTACATATACAAATCTGTATACATCTCATATCGAGGTTTTCTTTCAAAGTTTTCGGCGTGTAGTTGCAGTTTGTTCGAGCGTGTCCCACCATCGATTTGGGAGTCACGAGATCGCCTTCTGTTTTTGCGGTTACGTCGAGCGTGTCTCCTCTTCGTGCGGATTCGTCGGTAATCGCGACACAAGATCGAAGGTGTCGTTTGGAATTCGAAAGGTATCGGGGGGAAAAAGAAAGTGCGTCGAACTCGAATGGGACCCGTTTGAATTTGGCGCCAAATCGATCGTCATCGAGGAACGACCATTATATACGTACATATATACATAAGTACATATATACCATATAAATCGGACGTATACCGCGTGTTGTTCTGTTGTTTACAGTGCGATTTTTAATGTTATGTACGTTAGAAAGAAAGTGACATAGTGTTTTTTTACAATATATTTGTGTGTATTAGCTTAAAAAAAACAGAAAAAAGGAACAAGACGAGATTTCTGTCTATCTGTTTCTATTTATTTCTTTCTCTTTCTCTCTCTCTCTCTCTCTCTCTCTCTCTCTCTCTCTCTCTCTCTCTCTCTCTTTCTCTTTCCCTCTCTCAAGCTCGTCATCTCTCTGATGCTTCGACATTCACGCACATCATTTCTGCCACTGGATTATTCGACGCGTCGTCGTGGGCGAGCACGTGGACGCTCGCCATCCTCCTCTTCTTCAACATTGTTTTCATATTACGATCTTCCGCGAGAACTGGCCGATTCGCCGGAAAAGAAGCTTTCTGCGATATTTGGGTAAGTTATTTTCATTATTTATATTTCTGTACTTTTATTCATAGTATATATACATATACATTAAACTTAGAATATGTATTTAGAATACATACAAATTTAGAATACACACACATATATATATATATATATATATATATATATTAGACTCAGAATATATATTTATACTTTGAATGTATACATGTATATAAACTTTTACAGTTATATTAAAAATTGTTTGTTTACATTCTTAGAAACTACGAATATCCGTCGTAGTATTTTCGTCTCTTATATTATATCGCCGAAGAATTTACTTTTTGTTTTTTTTCTCTTTCCATTTGTTTTTCTTTAGTTTCTTCGTAACTCATACGACATGTAAACACTACCTGTATTTTGCTCCGATTATTATTTATCATCGTTTTCAGGGACGTACCGCTTATCAATAAGAACCAAGGATCGATCTCGTCTGTTTTGTTTTGTCTGTATACGCTCTTACTATGCGATATAAATATTCTATGGGTCGACTGTCGTTTCAACATTCGTTTCGTTTGTCGCTCCTTCGTCCTGAATCGAAGGACCCGGCCGAGTTTTTCGAGATTCTTTGTATTCTTTTCTTCCTTTCTCTTTCCGAGAAACGGTCATTGTAATGTTTTCGGTCGGAGAAGGCTAAAGAAGGGATTTGCGTGCATCAAAGATATATCTATACTGTAGTATATATATATATATATATATATATATATATATACAGGTATATATATATATATATATATATATATATATATATATACAGGGTGAGATTTAATTCTCTCATTCGTATTTAAGAGAAAAAAAATTTTGTTTACCAGGAAGCATCGTCATTTAATATATACTATTACTAATCTATTGTTATAACGCTTTTCTCATGTTAGAGTATCTGAGAAAATTGTAAGCTTGCCGATAAGGTATTACTGTTATTAGAGAAGCGTTAACTCCTTTAGCAATAAGTTTCTATTATCGTGAAAGTAACGTGCGAAAGTGCGAAGGAACATAAGGTTAAATGCTTTACTATCTCACGAGAGGGATATAAGTTACGGCTCTCGTCCATCTTGTATCATTATAGTTTGACAAGATCCACTCATCGAGACTTTTCCAGAACAGAGATAACGACGTTCTCTGTTGACAATTTCATATCGAATATCGGGGTCGTACGAAGCGAGTCTGTGAAGGAAATGGCAAGAAATCTTCTTTTCAGTATTTATACAACGATCGTAACTACAAAACCGAAATCGAAATTTTGTTTTTCTTTCTTCATAAAGACGTTCGAGCGACGCACATATCGATCGATCGAACAACAAAGATATCTAAGTTCTCCGAAAAGAGAGGAGAGAGAAAAAGAGAGAGAGAGGGGTGTGGGTAAGAATTCTCAAATAAGAATTCCTGATTAGGATTCTACGGAGTGTTCTACAGTTGATGACGTCATCAAGAAGGATCATCATCCTCTCGGAATGAACTATCGATTAAAATATTCCTTCTACTAGTCACGCTTCTTCGCACGTTTCTTGAATTGTACGCAGCTGAGACGTGTATATCCGGAAATGAAATGAAAATAATATTTCCGATCAAGATAAAAAAAATATATATTTATATACTACAAAAGTCTGTAAAAATCCTTTGATATCTGTTAAGATTAAACAATAAAGTATTACAAAGAGATTAAATGGTATTAGAAAATAAGAAAACATTCTTTGAGAGAGTAATGGCATGACGGCAACGAAATGTGTGTGTAGAAGCTGCAAGGTATTTATAACTTTATATCGATTAACCTTTCAAAGGAGGAAGGCGTATGCACATTGCGTTTATGCGTGCTGCGTCTACCTACTGCTCGTTCGCATTCGTCATGGCTATGCCGTCGTTGTAAACCATTGTCTTTTACTATTCTTCCCTGTCTTGCATCCCATAAAGCTTGTCTTCGATTAAGTTCTAATTTTCTTTTTTAATCCTTTTTATATGTATATATATGGGTGTGTGTATATATGTGTATATATGTATATACATATATATATATACATATATATATATATATGTATATGTATATGTATATGTATATGTAATCTACGTGCTCGAAAGCACGTAAGCATTTCCAATGAGAGATGGTCAGTCTCAATGTTATTTGGACGGAATATCTCTCCCTCTCTTCTTTCTCTCTCTCTCTCTCTCTTTCTCTCTCTCTTTTTCTCTCTCTTTCTCTCTCTCTCTCTCTCTCTCTCTCTCTCTCTCTCTCTCTCTCTCTCTCTCTCTCGTGTCCGGTAAATCTAGTCAGGAGTCACGAAGTGTCGAAGAAAATAGAGTCCACGATACACTACTATGGAATAGAGGACGGTTCCGGTATCGTACGGACCTCGTTCCCCTATTGTCCCTTGCATTCCTAGTATTTATCTGTCTCCTAGAGGCGTTCTCCGAGAGGTAGCTCTCTAGCTGAGCGGAGCGAATTGCTTCTCAAGAGTCACTGCTCCGATTGCGAAATTTTAAAATCGAATAAGAGAGAGAAAGAAAGAGAGAGAAAGACAGAAAACACACGGACTCCTTAATTCGAGCCGGGAGAGCAAGTTATTTCTGAGTTCGTCTCTCGGTGAGAGGCCTCCTTGCTGTTTTTAGTCGATAAACGCACCTTTTTGTTTCTTATTATATATTTATTATATGTTTAAGAATTGATTAAAAAATTGAAATTTAGACATTTCGAATTCATCGAATTCCTTTTAAATGATAAACGTTTTCTTTCCGTTTATGAATGGACTTTCCTTCGAGGCTATTATCGAGCGACGAATAAACAGAACGATTACGTGTTCCGAAAACGTAAGAAAGATAGACGGCCAGATACCTGATTGTGCTAATATGCACGGTTCGAGGTCCACGGTAGTGTTGTGTGGATGACGATAAGATTGTCTCTTTGATTTGTCGAAGCTGGACGTGTATTGTCAACAAGTATACTCATTCATCGTTAAAAACTATGTACTTGTCGTTAGATAAAACGCGATTAAAATAACATTCTTATATCTTTGTTTTATATATATATATATATATATATATATATACACATATATATATAAGATATATATATATATATAATATATAAATGTATGTATGTATATATTTCTTGTTGTAAAAACAATTTAATCGATCGAATAAGAGGACTAGATAAGAAAGAAGATTTCGGTGGAAAGCAAGTTGCCGATACGGAAATTAGATAGAAATCATGGATTTAAATCACTCCTAATCATCATGCCTTTTATCTAAACTACCAGTTACAAGCACGCTGCCGTCATCGATTGAGACATTGAACGTAATCTATAGCGAGTTAGTTCTATGCTAGGATCGTTCGTTCGTACGTTCCTACGTTCATACGTATGTACGTGCGTATGTACATACGTTAATTACTTTATCCGTTTTATCATGAAAGTAATTATAATATTAAACGATTACTTTTTTAAACGTAACAAATTACGAATTATTATATACAAATTATTATAATAAATTATTTTCTAAACGTTTATTTCGAATTCAGATTCATTGAAAGGAAATTAAAATTATCCTTTTTTCCTATTTTTCGAATCGAAATTAACGATATCCATTTATTCGAGGAAGATTCTCGTCGTAAACGGCATTAGTGGGAATATCTGTTTCACGCGAAAGAAATGGCGTTGATAGTTTATAAGTTGGATCCTTCGGCATATCTTCGGTCCTGCATTCTTTTATTCCGTGGCCGGTCTTTACACGGCTTGCCAACGTCCCTCTGCGTGATTTACATCCCGCATTTATGACACAACGTAAAATCGTACAAAACTTTGCTCACGTGTGCTTGCGTGCTCACTAACTGACTGACTCGCGCGAGTCTAACTTTTCTCGTTGAGACGCCGGGAGCCGTTAAAGATGACGTTCTGTCTCTTCTCAAAGAGATCCTTTTTCTCTTTTTTTTTCTTTTTTTCTCTTTCTTTCTCTTCTTACGTACTTTCCACGCTTTTAAACGCCTGTATATCTCGTTGGACGATGTATGAGATATTTATGTATGAGATGTATGAGGTATTACGATCCGGCTTTTATTCCTTGTACGTATCTACGTACCTACGTACGACGGCACTTCGAATAGTTTTTCTGACGACATTTTTCTCATCTTCGAACCCTCGAAGCTTATACCGATATTTTTAGTTTTTTAATTTTTTTTTTTGGTAAACGAGTGTGTGCGGTGTATGTATATGTATATACATATGGTACGTTTGCCTCGTACGATACATTACGTGCGTTCTGTAGCGTGTCGACGAGTGCACGGATAGTGAGACAAATATAGCTTAGGCATTGTCGCATTGAAAGGAGGAAGGAGAGAATGAGATAGTGAGAAAGAGGAAAGGAAAGGAGAGAAAGAAAGAGAGAAAGAGAGCTCCACAAGCTCTCGCACTTTCTTTCACGTAATTTATTATTCCGCGTGGCGAATATTCGCAGTCAATCAAGGAGAGACTGAGTCCAGTACGGCTTAGAAAGTCCTTCGTGGTGTGCTATTAAGCTCGCATATCAGAAATAACGATTAGAATAGGCGGAATTAACGAGGGCAGGAACGACGTTAGCTTCGTAGCTATTCCGTGTCCGTTTCGCCGCATCTGGTATCTTTCTCTCTCTCTCTCTCTTTCTCTCTTTCTCTTTTTATCGTGGAAAATTCTTTAGATCGTCATACACACACACACACACATATCTACGTATGTGTACATACGTAAGAGAGCTTTAAACTCTGCACACTTTCACGATCAGAATTATACACTCTAGCGAACGAGTTTATCTGCGTCTTTCTTTGCGTTGCTTGATACACGGCAAAATTTAAATTCCAAGTTCCGCAAGAGAAAAAGGAAAAAAGTGGAGGAAAAGGAGGATGAGAAGGTGGAGGACAAAGAATAGAGAAACGTTGCTTTGAGAAATGTCTTGCTCACTTTAGTATATCGTTATAAAAGCGAGAGATACGGGCGTGGACGACGCTTATAATACTTTGCCGAATGCCTCGA